AAGACATATTTAAACCTGATCCATTTCTTATTTCTGGCTAAGTTAAAGATAACTCATGTCCTGGGCTATGTAGCAAAATAAAAGCCTCCCTAAGACCATTGGAATTAGTGGTATAAGAGCAATCAGAAATGTATTTTATGAAATATTCTGAGTTAGCACCTTATTGTATCCCAGAGATTATGGAACAAGAGAGTTAAAAATGAGCCAAATATCCTTGTGCTAGACTCTATCAAATCTATTGAATAAAAGTACATTTTAGTGGGAAAGTAGGTTTTAGTTTTTTTTTTTTTTTTTTTTAACAACAAAGTGATCCTTTATTTATCAGTTAGCAACACATTACACAAAGTTGCCTAGCAACTAATAGCTGACCTTAACCAGATAGCATGTTTATCTCAGGACTGAGGTAGCTTATTTGCTTTAGGCACTGAGGCCTAGTCCCACTTACACACATGTGATCAATTTCCTAGCTTCTGTAGCTCAGGTATTTTTATTTCTGCTATGTTTTACTACATGCCACCAATGTCAGGACCAGTAACACTAATATTGCCATATTATATATTGCATATTATCTTTTCCACTAACCACAAAGTTATATTTTCTCCAGGTAAGAGTGAAAAAGATGCTATTTGATTTGACTGAGATATCTATAAGAAGAGGTTTTGTTATTATCGTCAGATTAAGAAATGTGTTTCAAAAAAAAACCCACGTTTATTTTCTGTAAATTACATGCAAAAACATGATAAACTCAAAATAATCAAGGTTTCACCTAAGAATCATCTCAGCCTCTAAACTCATGGAACATGTAATTCAGTAAGGTCATTGACTACATGCTTGACCTGAATAATTTAGAGTTGGACTGTTTACACAAAAAAGTATTGCTTTATTCACAGTAGTTATAACATTTCCCATCAGTGTTCAAAAAGAAAAAACTCATTCTCTGGATTTATTTGAAATACTTATTTTAGAATTAGGCAGTGAAAAAAGGATAGAGAAATCTAAATCCTACCTCCTCATTTTTTTTAAAGAAAAGTGTGCTTTCTACTTAATACATAAAGATTTAAGTCATTCTGATGAATTCTTTTTTTTAATATTTATTTATTTTTATTTATTACATTTATTTATTGTGTGTGTGTGTGGCCAGCTCAGCCCACCAGGGGGCGGGTCTGGCTGGCATGTGGTGCTGGGGATCGAACCGCAGTCCCTGTGCTTTGCCAAGCTTGTTTCAAGTAGGTGCTTTAGACCACTGAGCCATCTCTCCAGCCCCTCTGATGAATTCTTAACTAGTTGTTAATTAAGAAAGGTTAAGGGACATAAATATTTTGATTGTTATCATTATTTTCCTTTTGATATAGTTGAATATTTTTTTCATTATTTTCTATGTATTTGCTTTTTCTTTTTTTTTTTTCCTTTGTATTCTTGCAAAGCAGGTGTAACCAACTTGCATTTGTTGACTGTCAGCAATAAGGACAAGGGTTTTATAACTAATTTATAATACATCAGTCTAGATAGAATAGTATATAAATTGTTCCTTCCAGGTGGCCCTTGTCCTTGAAGAGCACCACAGGAAAGCATGCATTTATTACTTTCGAACCCAAGGGCAAGTTTTCTGAGTGTGCGCTATGGTTTGTGTGTACTTGTCCCCCCAAAGCCTCATGCAGTCATGGTGCAGACTTTTAGAGTTTAGATTAACTCATGACCTACTGGCATTATGGGTCCAAGTACTGCTGGGATTATGGGCGTGAGTGCTACACCCAGCCTGGGTCAGAGAGCCTGAATGTAACTTAACAGAGACAGAGAAACAGACTTGCTCTCCGTAGCCATTGTTGCTGCTACCCCTCCTTTGGCTCTCTGCTCTTTGTTGCCACTATGAACTGCTGCTCTCTACTACGGAGCCAGCCAAGTATGGACTGAACCTCCCTTAACTGTGAGCTAAATAAACCTTTCCTTCCTTCACTTTGAGTGTCAGGCATTCATTCAGCAGTGAGAGAAGAGCAATTGAGACAGTATTTGGTACCAGAGAAGTGGGATTGTTGCTGTGGCTAAACCTGGCCCCATGGATTACAAGCTTTTGGGAATGGCTTATGGGAAAAGATAGGAAAAGTTTGGAGATGTTGCCTATTTGTGAAGAGCTGGGAAAGCTTCAGTTGTTCTGTTTGGGAGATTCTGGTCAGAGCTCAGAAGACCAGAAGCTGATAGAAAGTCTGCCTGTGAAGACCAGGCTGGGGAGGTTTCTGCTGGGAAGAAGAACTGCGTTAGTTTTTGGATTCTGTATGATTTGTGTTATGGTGTGGCATAAAACCTTGTCTGAATTTTGCCCAGGTCCAGAGAATTTGCCTGAGACTGTGATTAAACATGACAGATTGATTAATCTGGCAAAAGAAATTTCAAAGTAGCCAAACATAGAGGGAGTAGCATGGCTGTTGTTGGGGGCTGTTAGCCAGATTTATGCTGAGAATCAAGAGCAAAGATCCCAGTAGGATGATTGAAAATGTTGTGTTTGGCCAGAAAGGAAGCTCCAATAAATCTGTGGAATGCAAAGATAAGAGCTGAGAGGATCTTCATTGCCAAGAAGGAACAAGAAAATAGAAAGGATGGCCTGAGGGCTTCACAAAAGGTGGCAGGTCTCCACCCTTTTCAGTCTCAGAATTGCAAGGGTGAGGGACTTTGGCTTGAAGGGAAAGCCACAGAGCCCCATGTTCCAGAATGGTGGCAGGAGCCTCACTCAGTTCTAGAGTGGTGCCAGAATGGAGAATTTATTCCTCAGAATCAGGGTCAGAGTGTTCAGTGATCCAGGCACTTGACCCCTACAGCCAAGAGAGAAGGAAGCCTGTATACTGCTCCAGGTGGCAGCAGACTTTGTCATCATGCACATGGCATTAGTTTTAGGCACTTACAGAATACAGGAGTTCTTAGGTTAAGAAGGCTTGCATCTGGATTTCAGAAGAAGGCCTGGGAGGTCAGGCAGTGTGCATCTGAGAAGGCAGTGTGGAAGGCTGTGAGTGAGAAGTCTATTGGTGGAAACCGCAGAAGTTCGGAAAAGCTAGGAACATGGATCATCTAAGGGAAACCGCAAGGAGGGAGCAAAGCCAGCCTAAGAGAGAAGCCATGGGAGCTACCACCATTAGTGCTATAGAGGCGGAGCCACATGGAGCTCACAATTTGACACAGATTGCTTTGGATATTCCACATGGACCTAGAGGATTTAAAGTTTGCCCTGTTGGATTCTGGATTTGTGTTGGTCCCGGTGCTTTGTATTCTGCTGTTGTTTGCAAGTTTGGGAATGGTAGTGTTTATAATGTACAGTGAATGCTGGAATTGTTTAATTTTCTTTTCATCTGTACAGGGCCTCACAGTTAAGAGTTTGCCTTACATCCTGGAGGAGACTTGCGACTTGGACTTTTCAGCAATACAGAAATGTTTGGGAATTTGTTAAATCTTAGAGATGGACTAAAACATCTTTTGCAGGAAGGGATGTGCAGTTTTTGGGGATCCAGGGAACGAATGTTATGGTTTGTGCACATTTGTCCCCCCAAAGTCTCATGCAGTCATGGGGCAGACTTCTAGAATTTGGATTAACTCATTATCCACTGGGATTGTAGGTCTGAGTACTGCTGTCATTAGGGATGTGAGTGATACACCCAGCCTGGGGCAGACAGTCTGAATGTGACCTAACAGAGACAGAGAGACAGACTTGGTCTCTGGTACTATTATTGCTGCTGTTCCTCCTTTGGCTCTCTGCTCTTTGTCGCCTCTATGAACTGTTGCTCTCTGGCTTGGAGCCATCCGAGCATGGACTGAAACCTCCATTCACCATGAGCGAAATAAAACTTTCCTTTCTTCCTTTTGAGTGTTGGGTATTTGTGCCAGCAACGAGAGAAGAGTAACTGAGACAGTGTGACAGGTAGAGACATTTTTGCATCCACAAAACTTGTATAAGCAACATGCCACAATTTTTATTTCAAAGGAAAAAAATGAGCTATATCTGACAGAATTCATGTGGACATTTGGGTGGGGACATGTGAGTGCAGTGGGCCTGAACAGGATGTTGTTTTTGGGTCTTGAAAGGCAATTGACTCTCATCAATTTCAACTGGGTGCTTGAATTCTACCAGTTGATTCCTAGCATGACGTGCTTTGGAATCCAGCAATCCTTGAGTGAGTGTGTATGGGGGTGAGGAGGCTAGGGAAACTCTAGCACTCCACTTTCATCGTTCTGTGCAGAAGAGGCACCAGCTATAACAGCTCAACCTCTTTTGCACAGCCACTGTCTTGTCAGGAAGCCCTCTACTTGGAGCCTCAGGTCATGTTTGCCTCTCAGCTGGACTCAGGTTTCTAGGCTTTCACTGAAGAAGTCCTGATAATACATTCAGAGAGAGCAATGAGGCTAGAGTGAGAGGTTCAGAATTTAAAATATGAAATTCTCTTCTGCTCTACAGATGCATGTTCTGTATAAGGAATAAAATAGAAGAGAACCTTAAAAATTTCTCAATCAGGGGGCTGGGGAGATGACTCAGTGGAATAAGTGCTTCCCTGGCAAGCACAAGGGCCTGAGTTCAATCCCTGGTTACACACAAAAGAGAGAGAGAGAGAGAGAGAGAGAGAGAGAGAGAGAGAGAGAGAGAGATTTTGCGGCTAGGGAGATGGCTCAGTAGAATAAGCACTTGCCTGGCAAGCGCAAGTGTCTGAGTTCAATTCCCAGTTCTAAAAAAAAAAAAAAACTCAATCAGGGCATATTTTGTGTCCATCCATTAGTTGAGCTTATTTTCTGGACACCCTTAGAGTAATAACCTTCTCTTTCTGTGCTCAGCCTCAAGGGCATCTCCATATGATCAGGATTGTAGAAGGGTTTTTTCAATATCTCAGAGACCTAACTCCTGCCAATACTTAGATTCCATGAAGGATCGAAGTCTATTAGTTTGTCTTTCAAACCAAGACTAGAAGACTGTAAACATTTAAACACAGGTTAATATTGTCCAGAACTCAGCTGGAGGAAACACTTACCCCAGCCCAGGAAATAATACCAGCGCAGGTTTTTCTCTTCATTAAACACGGACACCACGATGAGGGTATGAAGATAGATCCCTTCACAGAGCATCCAGAAATAATTGCAGGCCATCATGTACTGGTGGAAGAATTGCAGAATCTTGCAGCTCACCTGTAAGAAAGAAATGAAGGTATTCAGTGGAAGACACAGGTACAAGTTCCAGCAGTGAACCGGGAGTAAAGTAAATATGAGTCAAAGAATCTACATTCAGGTTACAGGGAAGTTTCACAAGTATTTTCCAAAATCTTCTAGCTGTTTTATCCACAAATCAAAGCCATAATGACCAGAGCATAGCTATTTCATGTAAATGACCATATAGGCCAGTGGAAGCCAAATCCATACAATGTTCAATCACCATTACATTCCAGGGACTTATCAAAACTGGCTCATTTTCCTGCAATGTGTCTGAGACTCATAATTTAGAAAACATAATTTAGGATTTGTCAGTGACGTTTATGTGCTTTGTGTCCTTATAGTTTAGGGGCATCAAGCCAGACATGAGGCAACAAAGTAGATTCCAGAGTAGCAAAGCGCTTGACAAATGTGTGTGTATGATCCAGGAGCCTATGCTGAGCCTGGGGGATGTGTATATGTTTGTTTCCATGTGAGGTTCAAGTGTTTGTTAGGCTCTCTCTGTACCTTGAAATTAGGATGGACTCCTTGCTTGCTACTCAGGGAAGATTTAGGAGCCACCTTTCTGGAAAATCAAGTTAACTGCATAATGCTGTCTGTATAGTGGTACTAATTGCTCAAACTACATAAGAAAATAATATCCTAAATTTTCCCCTAGTCACTCAGAGTAGGGTCTCTCATCTGACACCACTGACATTCTGGAGCAGAAACATATTTTTTTTTTAAACTATCGGAGGCTGCTCTGTGCATTGATGGAAGCTAGTATTTCTGGCTTCCATCCATCGGATGCCAACCATACCCCCCACCCAGTCATCACAATGAAGGATGTCTCACATTGCTAAATGTCCTGGGATGAGGACCACTACCCAAGCGTGTGGAGCTGCGCTTAACTACCAGTCACCAAACTGCCCCACAACAGCAGTGATGGCAGAGAAGCACGGAAAACTTCAGGGGTTATTTGTTTTACTACTATGCTACCAAAAATTCTTCTATACATTAGATGCTTCTCCTTATTATGTTTTTCTTTTAAAATTAATTATGCATTTTTATTAGTACATGTTTGTGATATATAATTCTTATGTCTATTGTGGTTTGCCCCTATATCTAACACATCTTAATTCTTTTTTGTCCCCTTCTCTTTCCTGCCTCTTCTCTCTCCATCTTGACATCTTTCCTATTTGAAAAAGTTCATTTTTATGTGTTTCATTTGACTCTGTCTGGATTTCTGGACTTATTTTTATAAAACAACATAGATTCTGGGTGACTTTTAGTCCTGCAGCACCTTCAGGACCACACATTTCCATTGAATGTGGAGAGGTAATAATTAATTTACTAAATCAACATTTAGTGTGCTTCTCCTTTCAGGATTCATTGGATATAAGGAAAATCAGTTACATTTGAAAAGGTAAAGTCAATCCTTAATTCTGAGAAATATACATGCATATATATTCAAATATATGTTCACATATATATATATATGTAATGAACTTCCTAATTGGGATTATTTGATATATTATGTTACCTATGTATGTGCACAGCAAGTACTTGCTATATCAAGACAACCAGGCATATTGGTAAAATGAGACACTCAGTTGATACCCTAGATTCAGTGTGAAGCCTACTTTCCGCCAGAGAACATAATCTCAGATTTAGAGTTCCAAGTAGAAGCTTTGGTGGTTTCCACTTGTGGAAGTGATAAGAGGACAAAGCAGCTTTGACTTCCTAATTTGCACAGCCATTTCTCCTTACATGCCATAACTGTGCTCTGTGCAGACTTTAGGAAAAGAGCATTAACAAATACTAAGTCATCGCTCCTGGGAAGTAGGACTCTTGTCAGTAGGGCTCTGTGTGCCCCATTAGACAATCAGTCCACCTTGGTTGCCACATATCATCAATCCATTCACGCTGAACACAATAAATCCTACGCGAAGGGAGCTTATCTGACACGTATTTTCCCTATGGGGTACATCCCTGTTTCCTGTTTTGATTTAAAACAAATTTGGCAAAGGATAATTGGAAATAAAAGCCACATGCTACTCAAAGGTTCAACTATGTCAGAGGTTTTTTGTTTTTTTTTTTTTTTTTAAAGATCTTTGCATTTTTTAAGTGGTGGCTAAGTTTCATGCAAAAACTGTTTGCATTTTTGAGTTCAATCCTAGGCTACATGTTACAAGTGCAAAGATAAAATTCAAAATTGCAATCAAGTCACCTTTTTTGGGTTAGGAGAAGATACAGAAACCAGTCCAAGCATTCAAAATGACCTCCAACAATGTGAATTTTTATAATCAACTTTAAGCCTATTAAAGTTCTTTCCTCAAGTACATTTCAATGTTAGAAGAGAATAAATGAATCAAACTTCTAAGGTGAGTGATACTAACATTAAATAATCTACTTGGATCTGTAGACAGTGAAGAAACTAGCAGATTCTGCTGCAGTTGAACACATTAGTGAACACTAGCAAGCATTCTTCTATTCTTCCAAGTCATATGTCAATACTGAAGCAAAAGGAAGAGCCTACCAAGAATATCTGTTTCTAGAATTAGTGGGAGTCAAATGAGTGTGTTTGCAAATGTTTGGCAAACAAAAATAACATCACTGTAGGAATATGTTTTTAAAAAACCTAAGAAAGGGCTGGGGAGATAGTTTGGCGGTCTAAGCGCCTGCCTGGCAAGCACAAGGCCCCGAGTTCATTCCCAGTATTGCATGTTATGCCAGCTCTGGAACCCCAGGCACACTGGTGCTGACCACTGAAACTGGGTGTGGTGGCACATGCCTGTAATCCCAGTTCTGGGAAGGCTGAGATAGGAGGATCACTACCAGTCCAAGCTGCATAGCAAGACCCTGTGCCAAATAAATAAATAAATGACTAAAACAGTTATTTTAAAAATGGCTGGGAAGATAGCTCAGCAAAATAAGTGTCTGCCTGGCAAGCACAAGGTCCTTCCTGAGTTCAATCCCCAGTACCATGAAAAAAAGTTAAAAAATAAAAACCTAAGAAAATTAGTTTGGACTAGTCTCATTAGTTCTAACTTCATTAATGTCTTTCACTGAATCAAAACTGCCCATTTCTGCAAGTCTTGACTTCAAACAAAAATAAGCTTTGGCTGCATGTTTGGGTGGTCTCTGGTGATTCAGCATGGTTAGTTACATTTCCTAGGATTTTCTGAAAATGTTTTCTTATATTTCACTTTGGCACAAGAGAAAGAGTGTAAAGTTATATTTACTTGAGCAAGGAAAGAAGTATCAGTAAGTTAATATCTAAATATTTGTCTCAATAGAAAAGACATTTTTAAAAGACCCAAATAGCAAAAATGTATGGTTTAAATTTGCTAGCCTAAATTTTTATTGTTTTAGTTTATATTTGTCTAGATTCCTATGGAGTAGACGCACAACTGCTGCTAGCGATGTGTCTGATCCATCTTTGTGTTTCTGTTGACTCCTCTAGCTCCGCCCTCAGGATTAAAATACCATATCAAGCATAGAGAAGGTAGCAGTAGATGCTTAAGTCTAAATGTATATTTCTGTTTTACTTTTTTTTTTTTTTTGTGGTACTGGGGATTGAACTCAGAGCTTTGAGCTTGCCCGGCAAGCACTTATTCTACTGAGCTACCACTCTGGTCCTAAATGTACATTTCTTTGGGTAGTTTTTATAATATTTTTCAATATTTTACTCCTAGATCAATATTTTTTCATCAAATGCCCAAAGAAGTACTGTGTATCCAGGATCTGACTAAAATTCCCTGGCTCTATTTCCCGAACAGCACTAGTATTACCATTAGATAACCTACTTGATCTGTAGACAACTCGCAAGTGAACTAGCAGATTCTGCCAAAGTTGAACTAGATAGGTACTAATAAACACTGTCAAACATTCTATAGACACTATGCAAAAATATTTGCAATGGTCAGTACCTATCTGAAGGGATCAAACTGCTGACATCAAAAGAACTTTCTGGGACCCTGGACTAGCCTCTGACCATGATGGCAGAGTCGGGGGAATCTTCAGTCTTCATTCATGTTTTTCTAAATTTTCAAAGGCTCTTTTTAGAAGGTGGCCATCTGCTAACTCTAGCATTCTATCTTTTCTCTCTGTGGAAGAGCATCTGTTTGCTTTTATCAGATGTTCTTCAACCTTGTCATCATATATATTCGTGAGTGTGCAAAGACTTTCCAAGTGGCATGTGAATACTCATGTGCTGTTTATTCAATTTTCTAGCATGCTTTAGAGTCTCTTCTTTTCCATTTATCCTTTCCCTTTGTAAAAGCACAGGTTTCCAAATTTGACTATGATTTATAAAATTCAAGGTGTAAACAGCTTTCCATGTCAAACATAGAGACCATGTAAAATTATTTTGAGGGAAAAGTTATTTCAATGATCAATCAGGTATCCTAAAACTAACTTAGTGTTTTGTTTTTCTGAGACACATAAATCTGTGAAAGTAAATAAGCCTGAT